TTTTGCTTTGCCGAATCTTAGAACGCGCAAAATGACTCATTCCCAACGGTCCTGAACTGGAGCTGGCGCTGGCTCGACCCTGCCCTGCACATCATAGTTGGCAGCAGCTGCTGCCAGGTAGGGCAGCCAGAGGGGAAATGGAAAGGTTTTCAGGAGCTATAAATTTCCCTTCTGTAAAACGCCTGTCTGACCTTTACGACCCTCTTTGTACGGCCGTTTTAATCATATAGGGGGTGATTAGCTTGCGAGCCCTGGATTCATGAGATGTCCGTGGAGAACGTGGGCACAAAGCACTGATGGGATCTGCAGGCACCACAGTGAATGTTAAACACGGGGGGATGCAGCGTCAAAGCACAGCCCGCTGTTACACACTGTCTTGGCAGGATTTGAGCTGGTAACAGAAACCTCGGTGATGGGGTCCTCAAAAATAACCATGTTGCTCTGTAGTGATATAAAATATTTTGCTCTCCAACATTCACTTTAGTGACGTTATTACTGGCTTGGCATCCGGCTGCAGAAGTACAAATCATTTTACACATTTGTGCTTCCTTCCACCTTTTCCAGTCCACCTCTGGAACACTGACATGTTTTTGGTCTGTTTCTTGTCTCAAACTTATATATCTGGACTCATTTCAAGTTAGTGAACCTGAGTTTTTAAAATCTAATTTGTTGTCCATCACCTGCACTGCCAATTTGGTTTTTGGATTCCACTCAGGACACTGTCATTGACTGTGTCTCATCCACAACTGCATTGCCTGGGAGAGATCACCTCTTAAATGAAGTGCAGTAAAGAGCTTCCTGTGCATAAACTGCTCCGTTTTCATGCTAGTCCATTTTAGTAAAATACCACATCCTGCCCTGATATTTGAAACCTTATCCTGTCTAAAGGTGTTCTTTCCTATATTTTGGACAAGTCTTACTGTCTGCCATCCAAACTAAGAGGAGAACTGCAGGCTTCTCTGCCTTTTTCTTTCTCCAGCCCACCTCCTCCTCAGCAAATGCCATTAACCCCTTCTCTTTTAACTGCCAAAATTACTAAATATCCACACTGTTTCTAATTCCATTTGGGAAATCACCATGTCTGTACATTAGTTTAGAGGTAGCAAATGAGTGCAGCAGAAGAGCTGGGTTCTCCTCCTCACAGCTCAGTTCTGTATTGGGTTCCAATCACAAGGTGTGGCTGTTCCAGGACACTGTGGAACAGCTGATCCACAAACTGGGAGAGGAGCTGGGTCATCAAAGGGTTCATCTCATATACATAAAGCTACCCTTTCCCTTCTACAACATGAACAACTCTGGGTATCCCGCATAATATCCCAAATTTGACCAGCCGGGTGAGCTGCTTGGCTACTGAGTCTGCTTTGGCTGAACCATGGACTTCTCTCAGCTGCCCAACAGGTTCAACAGTGGCATCAGTTTAGTTCTATGACTTTCAGGTTTATAATTTAGTCTTTCCAAATAAAGATTTCTTTGTTTGCCTACTGCTAGCTGTTAAAACTGTTGTTTGGGACAGATACAGTTTTCCTCATAATTTAGATGGAGGCTCAAGTTAGATTAGCTCCCTTTAAGAGGGCCCTTAAATACATATTTTTCTAGAAGCAGCCAAATAGTAAAAGATCACTGTTTTTTCCTTCCCTGTTGCTGTGTATAAAGACATCAATAAGAATATCTACCAGCAAAATGAAAGAGTAGCATAAAAATACAGCTGCACCAGAACTGTTATCAAATGTAAGGAAAAAAGCTGAAGTAGCAGATGAGGGGAGGAGCGAGAAAGGCTGTACAGTTTCAGTGATAACACCTCAGTACGCATTTCTTATGTCTCAGGTAAAAAAGAAACACCTGTTCAGAAGAACACATGGTTTGCTTTTCCTTAAATTGGTGAAGTCTTCAGAGTGAAGGTGATGATTATTCATACTTTTGATATTTATATCAAGAGCAATCATAGTACACCAGTTCTTTGTAACAGTCAAATTATATATCACGTCTTGGTCTTGAAGCTGCTCCTGATATAACCTCACTTAACTTGAAGGATCAGAAGCAGACCTGCAATTGTACAAAGCAAGGATTTATTCCTACTATTAAATTAATAGGTCATTCAAAAGCACAACAGAATAAATAGCTCTGTGATTTTCCCTAAATGGGTCTCAACTTGTTTTTGACATCTCACCATGCATTGAATTGGTTACCATCTGTTTGGCATTTTTTTATTATAAGAGTAGGGGTTTCCCTTTATTTCCTTGGCCCAAATTCTCTTCCCTCATGCTGTTGGATTGTGCTCCAAGGTGACTGTTCCCAAAATTACTTGTCACTGTACAGACTGCAGAACACCCTTCAGACTTGCCTGAGGTCTAAGACACTAAATGTAGAAGACCAATCATGCAGGTACACCACATTTTTGCCAAGGACCTGGCACTTAGATCCTCATCCCAAAATAACCTCCCCGTATTTTAATGGGCAGAGGAGCTGCCAAGTCCCCCCCAATACCATCTGGCTGAGAACTTCTGTATTTACAGCAGCATTGCTCCGAAATATCTTCATCTGTGGAGCAGCAAGACACTCGTGGCTGCTCCCAGAGTGTCAATGGGTTTGCATGTGGTGAGCAATTAATAAACAGGGTTTGTGCTCCCACAATGCTGAGAGCTAAGCAAGACCAAAGAAACTATTTCTTTGTCCTGCCTGATCTACTCATGCAGGCTGGGGTCTGCAACCCAGGCTTCCAGAGCATGGAAAAAATTAATTATCCTTTATCAACTCTATGCCTTTCTTTAACTCACCAGTATTTAAAAGATCTTGTAAAAACCGAGTTCTTCTGTTGTTTTTTTTTTGGTTTGTTTTTTTTTCCCCAGCCCTATCCCTGAGCACAGCTGGGTTACCACTTTCTGTATCAAAATAAATCAAGTCAAATAAAATCAAATACATTTGGCTGACTCAAACACTGTCATAAACCCTTGCTAATGGTAGCTCTCACCTTCACTTAATGGGACCTAAATAATCCTTAAGTCCCTGGCACATCTTGTTCCACTTTCTTTTCCCAAACTATCACAAAGTGTCCAGCCTAGATATGATGGTCATGGACATTCCAGGGGACAGAAATATTTGCACAATACATCTTTAGGAATAACAGTTATGGAAGAGGTAAATAAATTCCTTTTCAAAGATGGGAAGGCAAAGAGAAATAATAATCAGGAAACTGTACTGTCTTTCCTTCTGCAGTATTTTTAATTTCCTCCTGAGGATTTTTGGGAAAAGACCACTCTACAGTCATCTTCCTGGGATAAGCAGAAAGGAAATGAAACTTTAACTGACCTGAAAGGCTGTTTGGTGTTTCTTCCATAGACTTCCACTACAAGTTAGGCACACCTGATAATATTCTTCAAGGTCAGTTTGATTCAAATATTAAAGGTCTTTTTTGTTGGTATTAGCAATATACTAATAATTGTATTACATAATTTTTAATATATTTTTAATACTTTGCTTTTATTTTCTTTATATTTACAGAAGTAAAATCCATTAAAATAGCTCTGAATACAAACACCCTTCCTATTAGATACACAGCCATCATCTTTTATTTATAAAAATGCAAGCAGACACATGTGATGCTCTTCAGACCAAATCCCAGTTCTGAGGATTCCTCATCCCAGCACAGACTGGTCAGTACCTTCCCCTGTTTTCTGACCAAACTCCCCTAACACAGCCACATATTGAATTTCTCTGTACGCCAAAACATAATCATGATACATTTCTGGTGTGACCAAAGTGAAATGGTAACAGAATTGGGTCACTGACAATATTTCTTTATGTGCAAACTGAGCATTTAACCACATGAAAGTGAAGCTTTTTTTTATCCTAATTGTCTTCCACTTTTTTTTTTTTTTTAGCCTAAAACAAATCCCTCATTATTATAATTTATTAACTTCAAGATGCAGTGAAAAGTAAATGATACTTTATATATCTCAGCTCCAGGCTTCCTTTGTGCTATCACAGGAACACCCCTGATTCCACAGAAATTATTTTATAGAAAGCAATTTATTAAACCTCACGATCTGTCAAGACACATGAATATTGATGCGTTCACATTAACATCTCCTGGAGCAGCTGAAAACTAAATTTGTCATGACTTAATGGGAATTACATGTTGCAGAGCAACAAGTGACAGGAGCTTAATTAAAGCAAAGCTGACGAAGTATCCGAGCCACTCTAATAGGCGTTTTGTTTTAAATGTCACTAAAGAACTCCTTGCGTGTTTTCATTGATGGGGAAGGGAAGACAACCTTGAACCCTGGCTTAGGAGATAAAACCTAGAATGGAACAGGTGCAGTTTGTCAGCTGGAAACTGCATCCAACAAAATGCTGAGTTACTCTGGAATTTAGATAATCATGTAAAAAATGGCCATATCCAATTATATTTCTCCCAGATTCCAAAAGAAAATATGAACAGAGATACATTTATGGCAAAGACACCAAATTCTTTTGAGAGCACAATTAAAACTTATTATTAAAATTTAATCATATATTAGTCCCAGGATGAATGAATTCTGAATGTTTGCAGCAAGACTCTTTCCTTGCCTTAAATCAACACGATTTCTGCAGGAAAGGCACCCTTTCATTTACTACAACAGTAATTTGCTTTTTTGTGGGATGGGCATCGATGTTTCATTACCACGTGTTGAAATTCCATTTAGGAACCTGGCATTCCAATTTCTGGCTCCATCCGGTCCACAGACTATATCTGGAAACTGGAAATATAACCATCCTTGAGGGAAAGTGTCCAAAAAGAGCCCTTCTGTGTTAATAGAAGTAGAAGGCTCTTAGTTGATCCCTGGGATCAGCTGGAGGCTCAGCTGTGCCAGCCTCAACTCCCTGCCCAGTATGGGTGCCTCGCAGAGCCCTGCACACCCACAGATCTCGGGCTGGATTAATTCAGGATTTAGCTGCTGTTCAAAGATACTCACATGTCACTGTACCGTGGTGATTTGAGGGAGAACAGCTCTAGCTCTTGTTTGGAATTTTCTGGAATAAATAAGATTATATTTCGGTTGGCACTTCAGGATGTAACAACACGGCAGGCAGCCATGAGGGAAGCGTCCCTGAATCAGTTCTCCACTGCAGTAGAAAATATCTCCCTTTCTTGTTTGGTTGGGGGTTTTAAATAGTTCAATGCCCGTTGAAAACTCAATTCAGGTGGGAAGAACCTGCTCATATCAAATCCCCGCTCCAGCTGTCTCTGCTGGAGAAGCCATTGGGAAGTAGAAGGTGCCTTCCTGCAGGCCAGTGTTGGGTGGCAGGTGCACCACAGCATCCCAGGATCCTTAGGGTTGGAAAAGTCCTCCGGGATCACCGAGTCCAACTGATAACCCAGCACTGCCAAGGCCACCACTAAAGCATGGCCCAGGTGCCACATCCACGTGGATTTTGAACCCTTCCAGGGGTGGTGACTCCACCACTGCCCTGGGCAGCCCATTCCAGTGCCTGACCACCCTCCCTTCAGGGAAGAAATTTTTCCCAATATCCAATCTAAGTTTCTCTTGGCACAGCTTGAGGCCCTTTCTTCTTGTCCAGTCACCTGTTACGTGGGAGAAGAGACCAAGCCCTACCTGGCTTCACCCTCCTGTCAGATGCTTGTACAGAGTGATAAGATCCCTCTGATCCTCCTTTTCTCCAGGCTAAGCACCCACCGCTCCCAAAAATACTACAACATACTACAGAGTTCCAAGACTTGTCATCTAAAAGCAAAATAAAATCTCTTGCTCTAACCTACAGTTTAGAAAAACAAATACTGCCAGACTGAAGCATCAAAATTAAGTATAAAAATAGATTAAACAAAATATGTCTGCTAAAATTATGTCAGCTTTTTTAAAAAAAGTCCAACCAAAACAAAATAACCCACAACTTTTTACTAACTCTGGTGAATTGAGATACAGAGATAGACTTGGATTCTTCATTGTCACGACCCACCCCTAAGGAGAAGGAAGCATATATTCACATGATTGAACTTGGAATAAATTCTATATTTTTCCTTTGACTATTTATTCCAAACATTCCAGTAAACAATAATCTGTGCTCTGCAGCCTTGCAACATGGTGGGAAGTGTGAATAGGGTAAAAAAGAACAACAATAGCACTTTGTGCACATTATAAATAAACCATCAGATGAGGCAATGGCAGCTTTAATGTCGAAGGACTCTTCCAGGTAAGACTAAAAGAAATTTAGATTTGATTGCCTGTCTATTTTTTAATCTGGAATCACGATTTTGATGCTTTACAGATTTGAGATGTTCTTGCTCTGAGTGGGTGTGTTCATTCCTGTCTTGAAGAACTCAGCAATGACAGCCTACACGTTACTTTATTTAATTCCTCTAGAATTAGTTCTATACTGTTTGCTTGGAGGCCAAGAAATATTTTACAGTGACTGTTGTGGCATTCAGATTTTTAAACAGCTTTTCCATGTTAAGAATTATGATGAATAAGTGATTAAGAGATTACACTGACAAACAAGAAAGCAGCATAAGGTTCATAAAGGAAGTGAATGACACTTTCTGGCTGCTCTGGAGGTCACTGCCTGGTCAAATTGCTTTTTTTGGAGTGCTGTTCACCATCCCTCACAGTGATTGGCCTGGCTCACATGGTTTCCTTACACTTTTAAATTTCCTTTACTACCTGGAAAGAAAAGGCTACAAACCCAGTATATTCTTCCTCAAAAATAAAGCACGGTGGGACGTTGCTGCAAAGATGCAACTCTCTGGGTCTGCCAAGGAATTGCATTTAGCCATTTTTAGCCAAAGGCTGGATACCAAAATACAAGTCTTGAAAGGAACAGAAACTCCATGTGAAAGAGTTTCTGTGGAATAAACATTTCCTGCAAAAAAACGGGGGTTAGGCCACTTTTCTTTTTTTATTTCCCCCCCACTGTTTTTAAAGTACTGCAGGTGGGCTTCTATTTTAAAAATTTTAATAAAAGGTGGTTTTATGCCACAGTTTCAAATTCATCTATAATGGAATGAATTACATAAATCCTAAAGCAGAATATTTTTCTACTTTCTGCTATCCATTCCTTGGAGCAATGGATCTTTTGCGTTGCTTCTCAGAAATTTTGAAGTGGATCAGATGCAGCATTAACAAACTGGGCTGGTGGATGAGAACAGCTACGAGCAATTACTCCTTTGGAAACAAGGGGAGAGGGGCAGACCTGTTGGGGCACAGGACACATTACATCTTCACCCTTTTAAGCGTGAAGCAGAAAGTGCTCAGCTTTTCATACCAGTTATCAGAAAAAGCCTGATAGCCAACCTCAAAATGACAAAAAACAGCAACCAAAAAGTCTCTGCTAAGTAATTGTTCTTTGCTCACAGCATTTCTGAAGCAGAACAGCAGCTACCTCTTAAAACCCTCCAGAAAGCAGCAGTAAAAGCAGCGGAGGAGGTTGGGTTCTACACCAACCCAATCCATCAGGAATAGGTGTTGGGAAACAAAGGTGATTTAGAACACAAGATGCTGGAATAAAAGATTTGCACACAGGCTGCAGTGTTTGTTGTGCCTCTGTCCTCTCTATATTCCCCTGGCTTTCCTTCTGATGCCTTTCAGGACCCCACCCTCAAAAGGTGATACATCATCTAGTTCCTGGAATAAGAGGTCCTGTTTTTCTCTGGAAAAGGGTTCTTTAAATCCTCCTGTTTTTCTGGAATTCTTCAGCTCCCAGCTGAGCCAGAGGCAGAGCCAGGCAGTGCTGGCAGTGCTGTTCAACAGCTGTGTAGAGTCTGCAAAACGACAGCTATTCTAGAACCAATCTTGCCACTTTATCTGTAGCCTCTCGGGGCAAAAAATACTATTCAGCATTCAAAAATATCCCATAACCAGGCTGAGACAAGGTGTTCATAAATGATGAAGGTCCCGTCTCACCAGCCTGTTGTTGACTGCCCAGCTCTGGAATGAGAGAAGGACACACAGCTGCCACAGCACGATTCAGGAGTACCAACACATCACAAAATGGCAACTGCTAAATAACATTTTCCTTTGCATCACTATCAAGTCGTTTGTAAAGGGCTATTTCTGCCCAAGCTGCATATAAATTGCACGTTGTTAGTGGATTGATGCTCTCTGGCTTCATCTGCACAGTGCTTCGTGCCAAAAACCACGAGACTGCAGGACCTCAGTCGTAAAGAAGAAAATAATCAATAAGCCTGGGCAGCTTGTGACGCTCAGTGACAGATTCTCACTGCCTGTATGGCTGTATTTTAATTTAGACAAAAATAGTCAACACCGCACTTGCATGCAAAAAGAAGTCATCTGCTTCTTATCTAATGTGTAATTCAATAATTCCTATAATTGATCTTCATTGACAGTTTTTGCAAGCTCACTCACCCACACTGCACATATTGTGCTTCCTGACATAATTCCCAACATAGGCGATGATATTTCAACAGAGGAAGCTTGTTAAATCAGGTCAAACAAAATAAAGAATCAGAATGTGCTGCAAGTCCTTGCAGCTGCCTGTCTTTCTACCATTCCCTGCCCTTCCAAAAAACAAAAACCAAAAAGAAACAATCCCAACTGTTGGCATTTTTGCAACGGGCTAAAAATACAAACCCTGGCTTTGTTAATTGTTGATAGGCTTCCGAACTGAAATACATCATCATTATCTCCCTAGATGCTGGACTATTACTGTTGATCAGACATAACTGCCAGTCTTTTATTGCTTCCACAAGGTTTAATTTTCCCTGCAAGTGCCATATATATTCTAATGACCTGCTGAATTAAAAGGATTCTAAATCGGTTCCCAATTGATGAGATGGTGTTTCTGAGATCAGCCAATAAAGGGCATTTTCTCACATAGACAAAGGAACACAAAAATTGTGGAGGTGATAATGGGTCTTCAGGTGTCTGAAAGAGTGATACCCAATTTCAGAGAAACACATACAATAGATGCATTTTCCATTTACAGTGATTGTAAATAAAGAGGAACATAATGTTTCTGTTTTATAAACACAATCACTTGCCTGCTCAGCGTTCTCCAACTATATCAAACTACTGTTATTCTTCGAAGAACCGAGATACAGGAAGAATTTAACAGACTAACAACTAACAGATACAATTAATGGAAGCATGTTAGAACACTAGACACGAAAGGCTGGAGGATCATTTCCAGAGCACATGCTGGCACAGGAGAACCCCATTTTAATTTTCTATAAATACAACTCCAGCTTTTAAAACAAAACATTGTTGGAAGCACAGAGCAAGGCACTTTTCCAAATATGTAGATTCCTTTATTCCCAGATTCTTTTTCCAGCTCTAAGCCCTCATTCTCTAGCAGTTAAGAAATGATTTCCATAAATCACCTCCTTCACCCAGAAGCCTTTTCCCCCATCGGCTGGGGGAGGGCTCTCAGTTTGACTCCCGGCCCTGCTGCTGAATGATTTTCCAATTTCTGGTGGCTTTAGCACTTCAGGTTAGTTATGCTGCACATTACTGAGCTGGTAAGTCATCAGGAGAAAAAGGGAAGCAACCAAGGGTGACGCATGTGCAGACACAATAAAAATCAAAGTAACTGCTCTTACCACAGCAAGTTCCAGGGAGGCTCCTGCAAAGGGCAGGGGTGTTGGTGTGCCCTGCAGAGCAACACAGTGTTTCCTGAGCTCTGCAGATGTAGCATGTTATGTGGAAACATCTTTTTTCTCCCACTGAGTAAGTTCTGAAACATTAAGCAAACAAAAACACTTGAAGGGCAAACCCATAAATATTTCAGTTAGTTGTACGTAGGTTACTCCTTCGGAGTCAAACACTGGAATAAAACAGACACAGGTGTATCTTACATGTCAGACACGGAACAACACAAAACTGATCCAGGGGATAGCAAGGATTCCAAGCTATGGGCCAGACTGTGGCACAGGAAGCCATGCAGCCTCTTTGTAGAGGATATGCCATAATGGAATGTTTGGAAGGCAGTTGTGTCCTCACCTTTTGGCCTTTGCTGAAATTTCTTCCCTGAAATGTAAATTTGGGGAAGCAATATTCACCTATGGGATGTCCTTAAATCAAAACAGCAAGGGAAAATATAAAAGTTAAATAAATTCTTTACATCTGACACTGACCTAAAAGAGGCAAAAAAAACCCCCAACTCTGTTTATTTTAACTAAGATATACTTTTAATAGTAAAGTGTTGCTGAAAGAATCCAGATACCCAAACATGTGGGAAGCTAACCCACAGCACTGAAATCACACATGTAAGGTGACTTCTGATGACTCTTCCCTTCCTGCCTAACAAGGCTGATTTCATGTGATTCCAAAGATTGTGTCAGGCAAAAGTCTGGAAGTTTTATAAAATAACCTGATCTAAGAGAGAGGGGAGAATCACAGAGCAAAGGGCATTCAGCCAAACCCAGCTCTGCTGGAGAGCCTGAGTTGCTGTGGAGCTTTATCACAAAGGCCATCAAGTCAGCAAAATATGCACTCGATCTCTACATCCCCTACAACAGCATGTCAAGTGCTCATCGATCCCAGTGACTTATATTTGGCTTCATTTTTGGCACGGCTCTCTGTCTGTCCTGTTGCAGGTCACGCTGCCTTCCCACCCCCCATGGGAGAAGTTCGCTGTGAACTCACACCCAGGCTGCGCTAAATGTTCATAAATGTCATTTCTGAGGTGACTGAGCTCACCAGGCCCCTGCAGGCACCGAATGCTGAACAGCAAAATGGAAAAATGGGAAACAAGAATAGAAGACGCTTTGTTAAGGTAACGCTCGTATCTGAATTTCACCCCCATACAGATCGTGTGTGGGTGAATATTAGATTGAAGCAGTTAACTGAATGCTGAATATTTTAGTGACAAATATGGTCTATGCACTTCCTAAAGTGTCTAGAAGTATGCAAAGCAATAACATGGGAAAGGCAGGATAGAAAGAGAAAGGAAACTTTTAATCTTAAGGTTTATTTTTAGGTGATACATTGAATGAAGGTTTGGCTTTTCCATAGAACACCCACACCCATGTAGCAGAGCAAAGATTCTGATGAATGTGATACCCAGAGTATCACAGCTTTCTTCATGGCTGGTTTTTTTCATATAATGTAGTTAGTTAATTAGATCTCCTCTGATCAATCACTGAATTACCGCTTCAAAAGGCATTATGATACGATGAGAGTGCCTCGCAGCAGTTAAACACTTTGATTTTTCTGTCCTAACACATTTACAGCTGGTGCCAACTAGGCCCTCCCAGCAGGAATAAAGAAATACTTTTTTAAATTACAAGCACAATTTATCTCACAATTTAAAAGCTGACCAATAAATTTACTGTAATATGGATTCATTCTCCCCATTGCTCCTTTCTGGTACTTAAGAACAATCTCTTTCATGTTTTCCATGTGCCTCATGTTTTGATCTCAAGTTCTCTGGAGCTGTGACCTTCTTTCTTGCTCATGTTCTATTCAGTTCTTTTATACCATCACCATCCCACATCTGTGACTTCAGCTGTGTCACAGCAGCTCCTTCCTTGATCCTCGGGAGTCCCTCTCAAACCAAAGCAGTGCAGTCACTACACAAAGATATCGACAGCAACTCTTTTGTGTTATAAAAAAAAAAAATGAAAATAAATAAATAAAAAAGCTCTCAAAGGTTTGCTTCTGTTAGTGATGAAAGTCCCCAAATGAGGAGAAAAGAGGCACTGGTTTTCTGAGCAGTGTAAGTGATGGAAAATAATTCACTTTATAATCCTAAAGAAATACATTTGCCTCATGAAAGAGAGCTGAGCTGTTCTGCTGTTGCCTTTCCAGCAGGATAGTGCAGTTTGCAGGTAATTAAACAACAAAAACCGATACCCATAATTCAACTGTATGTCTTAGCTATTATTTGGCAATTCTTTTTCTCTTGGAAACTCTTATACATAATATGTGCTTAAAATGGAAATTACTCATAGCAAGTTTTATTTCATTGTGAATTGTTCTCCTACAGCAATATGTAACCACATTTGTAAAAACCCAAATCTTCTACTGCCAACTGAAGCTGTCCTGCACTCTTACAAAGGCTGCTATTTTGAATTTGGATGTGCTACCTGCTACGTGGGCAGCAGACCCCAGAGAGATGACACACCAGTCTGGCAGCTCTCCACTCTGTGAAGTGGAAGGGTTCTGACAAATTGAAGGGGATTTAGAAAGCAGCAACTAGAATGAGAAGACATAGGATTTCCATTTTTCTGGAGAGATTAAGACTTGGGTGTTTTTATAACAAGGTTGATTACCGCTCTCAAATTGAACGCCACTACTCAGGGAAACATATTATCATCTGGAAACTCACTTCCCAGTACTTGCAGGTCTCCCCATGGCCAGGCCACAAGAGGAAAGAGATTTTCAGGTGCCCTGCAGAGCCAAGATGAGAAGGGGTTCCTGCTCTGGACCACCCTGCAGAGCCCAGGGAGGCTGAATGTGGTCCCTGCCCTGTGGTATTCACAGACACCACTTCACCTTCCAAAAGAAAGGAATGGGCATCTTGAATAGAAGTCACTTGGACTTCTCTGACTTAAATATTCAGAAGTTTTGTTGCTTCTTTTTTAGTGTTGGTTTCTCTCTGAACACCTGTTACAACTGTTCTTCATGAGCTTGTATTTAGTAAATACTACGAAGCAACGTAATATTTAATCTACATTAAGAAGCAATAGCTGGCTTTTCCAGCTGAAACTGATATGTGGAAGGTGAAAAGCAGGAATGTTTCCCAGTATGATCCTGTTACCAGAACACTGATAGACATCTCACCTGCCTGCCCACAGCATCTGGATACCAAAAAGATCAGCAGCTGACTTTGGGCTTAGGCTGAACGTGTGTAAGGTGGCAACGCTCTTTCTAATAACTCAGCTGTTAAAAAGAAATGGAAGAAATCACATCTGAAAGCGTGAAAAAGGGGAAGGATGCTGGGGAATAGCACTGACTACCTCAAGCTGATGCAGGGCCCTTCATCCATGCAGAATGAGCTGCAGCTCACCAGGAGCAACTTAATTACTTCTGTTGAGTGGTTTCCCACCCACATGTTTATCGAAGTTCGTGCTCCTGAAAAGTGCTGAGGAAACAGCTCAGGGGATGAAAGGGAATTACTCTCATAGGCAATGGGTGCTGCAAAAGCTCCTTGTGAAAGCTCCTGTGCTGCACATATCCAGGGTGCCTCCACCTGGGCAGGATTGCCTGGCTCCTGAGAATGTGACAGTTCAGGTTCTGGGACTTTTTGCAGTGCTTGGGATTAGTAAGTAAGGGGATTCCTTTGCACTGGTTGAAAGGGTAAGTTTTGTTTGGGCAAAATACCCCAAACTAAAAATCCCTTAAAGCTGCACATTCCTTCACCTTAAGGCAAGAAACTAGCAAGGGATGGAAAGGAAACTCTGTTAGACACACATCCTCTCTGAAATGTTTAAATGATTGAACGGGAGCAAGAGGTTCTTGTATCAGATTATCAATCTCTTGCAGTGTCCAGTCCTCCATAAATCTTGCTCTCAAAGGACAAATCCTTCCTGCCACAGCCACACACAGCAGTGACCACAGCACAGCCAGGGCAAGGTTTTTGAAGCTCATGAGCCCTGCAGATGGAACACAGAAATGTTCTCGAAATCCAGCAAGGTTGGCAGGAGCATCACCTAAACATGGGCAGGAACAACCTCATCTTCAGCTGTGAGCATCCATTAGTCACATATTCCCTAATGAGGGACAACAACTGAGCAGATCCTGCAAGGACACGAAGCTGCTGGTGTTTGCACCAGGGAGTTAGCAGGCCCTAAGGATAAGTAATTACACAAATAAATATATAGCTAATAAAAAAACCCTATTATCCTGTACTTTTTACTTTAAAATTTCTTGTTCCCAAGAAGTGAATCAGGTCTCTCTTCATATAATTTATAGAACACCAGTTTCCATAACAACGTAATTGCTCAATGAAGCAAAAATACCTGGCAGAGTTGCCATTATCATGAAATAATTGACCACAACAGTGAGTGAAAGAGGCTGCATTAAACCCCACATTGCTATGTGTCAACATGTTCAATTACAATGCAATAATGCCAGATCAAAGAGCAGCATTCCTAACATGAGTCATTACAAATCACAGCATAGCCCGAAGAAGCAGAGCCAGATAATAGCCAACAAATATTTTTCCCCACAACAAAGCACAAAGTCGTGTCCAATCATTTAATGGCTGCAGAACTGCACGGCCAACACCACGACAGGCAATTTTAAGATCTCAGGGTTTGCTGTAAAGAAACACAAGCAAGAACATCTCTCTCACTTGGTATCTTCATATGAGCAAAGGCACAGGCTACTTTATATTTCTCAAAAGGGGTGTTTGTTCCACAAAGGCTTGTCAAGCACTGTCATGTGGTAAGATCCAAGAGGGAGTAGCTCACACCCACTGCTGAAAACACCTACTTCATTGAAAAACACAGCCCTAGTGTAGATGTAGATCTACATCTGCCCATGGAGCCATTACATCCTTGCTCTTGGTAAGTACAGGTACAAAGCAGCCCATGTGTCAGGTGAGAGCCAGATGTGAACCAAAGTTAAATTGCTGCTGTGGTACCCCAAACAGATCAAGCTGACCTGAAATATCGGCCACGCAGCTCCTCCAGCTCCACAATAGTTCTGCTTGTTCCCAGCACTGACAGCTTTGTTCTGGAGAGGCTGTTTCAG